CTCGTAGATTTGAAGTGGTCGTCGTAAACACAATATTCAACGAAGCGATCATAAAAATATTTTAGAATAAGTGAAGCGAGAACGTCATTATTTGTAAAGGCTGCTCCCACAAAATTAAATAAGAAAATGTTCTCCCAAGGCGAAGAATCGGAACTCAAAATGAGGTATAATGCCTAATTCTGGGAAAATCCATAACAGCGTATGATATATGGCAAGAGAAGACGTCATTTCAAAATCAGTGAAAGTCTCAGTATCTGATTAAGTTAGATTAGGAATTCAATTTTATCAGGAAGTAAGAATAAATAAGATTATGCAATAAGTTCTTCAAAGATTCTTATTTATCTTGTAAAAGAGAAACTCTTCCACTGATTTTTTTTTTTTAAGAAAAACCTTTAATTAAAAAAGCTCACTATGAAATAAGGTTCAAATGATTAAAATCTGCATAATTATGAACTGTATCACTTTAATAGAAGAATAAAAAAATGAATTCATTTCATTTCATCTTTTTTGAAACAAAAAATAATTATCTGGATTTACATTGAAATATGCATAAATTATATTCTAATAACTTTCATAAGCCTTAAGTAACCCTTAGTACCTTAAGTACTTTCATAAACCTTAAGTTAAGTAAGCTATTCTTAAGGAATAATTTAATTTCAAGGGAAATTTTAAAAAATTAAATACAAAATATGTTTTTCATTACACCTGTTATTAACGTTACCACAAGAGTTAAAAAAAAAAAAAAAATTATTATTATTTTTTTTCCTTTTAAATTTTAAAAGGTAGGGACACACTCTAAATGTTCATTATTTTAATATATTGAAACCTATGTCTATCACTTGTAATTCATTTGCACAGGTGATCAACTTTTCATCTGAATAAATGAAATTAGGGACATTTTGTTTTTATAAATTTAATATATATAATTATCAGGATTGACTTATCCAAGTGATCAACTTAGATGGTTTTACTGCAGTTTGCTATTTTGATGAGTGGCTACTATAGGATCTAAGATGTTGTTAACTTCTGACAATGGGAAGACTTTAATATATTTCCAAGACTTTATAATGTATAAATAAAATACATGAGTTTAGTAAAAGGTTGCAAGAGACATTTTGGAAAATATTTAGAAGAGTATTCTAGTACCATACAATATTTATTTTGTCAAGTCTGTATAATTTGCAAATCTAAGATGAAGAACTAAGTAAAAATATTCAAATGATTAGGAGTAGAAGAAGGTTACAAGTCCATCTGGCAACAAGCAGTTGATGAGTAATTTTTTTGAGGGGTTAAATAAAGAAAATCATAGATGGAAACTTTTACACAAACCTCCGGCTGGGGAAAAATATTTTAAATACCAAAGAGTAAGCACAAGCTTGAAAAGCACTGAGTGTGTTGGATTTAGACTATGATTATTTTAATGCTGAAATCTTATTTTGGACTATATTACTATTTTGAATCTGAATAGAGATATAAGAAAAAGAGTAAAAACCGGAAACAGAGATAAATTGAATTTTCAAACTGAACAGAATATTCTTTGGGCTTGTAATTATTGAATAACAGGCATTTCAATTATAAACAATAAAAAATTTTAAAGTTTGAAAAAAAATAGCAAAGAATAAGTGGTCCACTACAATAGTGGAACTACTGTAGCTAGTTATTTTTTCTTCTTCTTGAAATAAAAGTAATGTAATAAGTATTACAATAAAAAAAAAGCAGCGATCTCTAGCAATAGTCTAGTAAAGAAACAAGGTTCAAATTCAACTAATGTTTCAAATCTGATAGGTCCTCACAAATCAGTAGTTAAATGGAGGTAATTAGAATATTCCTGTTTCCGAGCATTAATAAGAATTACATATTACTAATGCTTGAACTTGCCCTTACAAATAATAGATCACTTTTCCACACTTTCAAATGCGAATGTACACATTCATGAAACATAGTTGTTATTTCAGTCAGTAATTTTCAATGTATTTTATTTAAATAAAAGAGCATTAAACACTTACAAAATTACCACTAATTGATTCTCTTCTAGAATTGAATATTCGATGACAAGAAAAGTATAAAAAGTTGATAACTAAAAGAATAATTTCATTTAATAAATTTAATTTTTCCTGATTTAATGTTGGTTTATCTAAACTAAAAGAACAAATTTGTAAAAAGCGATTTGACTGAAAATGAAACTGGCTAATGTAAACATGAACAAATATTTCTTAATAATTCGTTATGTTTATATGAGCCAATTTTTCTTATCAAGATCACCTTGAACATTCGTATAAATTATCTTCTCCAGCTAAGTTCATCTCCTAAAAGTAGTGATAACATTACGAAAATTTTGTAGTCACTACATTTACATATAGTATAATAAATAATAAAAAAAAGCAATTGTAACTATAGTTCATTACATTTGTAATAAAGCTGTTTTTTTGACCAGTGTTAAGTATGAAGCTAACAATAGAGAGTATTATAGACTCAGTAAATAAGACTAAACAGGAAAAAAAAAAAGTTAATTTTTCAGTTACACGGTTTGCTCGCAAGGCATCAGATGCAAACACATCCTCTAGTCTGAAATAATTGTATTTTGGAATAAAAATATTCCATTTATGCTAATGGATGGAAACATTGTCCACGCACAAAAATTTCAAATAGTGTTTTTAAGCTAATGGAAAGTGTTCATAAGATACAACACACACAGAGGTTGAGAGTAATTGCAGTGATTGAAAACCTTTTAAAATAATGAGAAAGAAAAGGAACCAATAACAATAACTATTAAAGCTGTACAATCCAATTTAATTAGAGAAAATAACCATAAATAAACAATCTTTCCCATCCACATTTCTTTCAACAAACTACAAATTTCTAATGAAAATTATAGTAATTATATTCCTCTTTAAAAAACAAATCTACCTTCCAGCAAAAATTTATTTGTAATTATTCCCATAAAAAAGAAAATTCTATACAAAAAAAAAATTTTTCATAACTAAATTAACTTATGTTGACTTAGCTGTTTGTCAAATATATTTAAAAAAAAAGTTATTATAGTATGTGTCATCAAAACATGTTTGTTTTTCTGATGGAGATGAACAAATGTTATTGAACAATTAACGATTTTGAAGATACCATGGAGGAAAGAGATGTCTGGTCAAGGATGAGTTAAAAAGCTTTNTACGATTGACTTAGCTGTTTGTCAAATATATTTAAAAAAAAAAAGTTATTATAGTATGTGTCATCAAAACATGTTTGTTTTTCTGATGGAGATGAACAAATGTTATTGAACAATTAACGATTTTGAAGATACCATGGAGGAAAGAGATGTCTGGTCAAGGATGAGTTAAAAAGCTTTATATTTAGTGGCCGTTACAATACTATAGAGAAAAACAAGTTTCCATTTCAAATCTAAATTGTTGAAAAGTAAATAATGCCGAATTAAACAATTGGTATTGCCAGTAGAAAAAGTGCTAGTCTGACTTGAAGTGCCACCCAACTTCTCAGAAAAATATTTGAAAAGCACAGAAAGAAATAATTAGAATCTGCAATATTTTCTTTTGTTTTTTTAAAACTTGCAACAAATTAAACATACCCTATGAACTGTATAAGCACATTGGTGATAAAATTTCAAATGGCACATGTTTTGAAATGCTTAATTTTAATATCACAACACTTAGTAAAAAGCACACGTCAACTTAATTTAAAAATATTCTAATTAACCATTCAAAAAGGCTAACATTCTAATTCCCAAATGAGTATTTTAATCAGACATTAAGCTCAAAATTTTAAATCAAAACATACTACTTTACACTAAACTTTATTATATTAAATTTAATTACACATAACTCATTCTAAATGAAATTTTGAAAGAAAAAAAATCACTCAAAGCAAAATAAAACTATTTCAGAAAATTGCTAAGTTTGCACTATTATATGTGAGGAAAAAAATCTACTTTTAAAACTGTTTATTCTGAATTTTAGGAAAATGAGGTTTACATTTCATGAAAATGTCAGGAAATCATTTCAATAGGTTTTAAAACTTTAATATAAAAAACTTAATTTCATAAACCACTGACAATAGTATACTGAAAACAGAACACTTTATTTCCAAAAATAATAAAAAGGCAGTTCTTATTCCCTAAATTCAGTAAACACCCATATACTTTTAAAGAATAAAATACTTGTTTATGTAATATTGTAAACAAATAGAATGTTAAACAATAGAATTTGCATGTATACTATCTGTTTAAATTATTTGTTGGGGGAAATAACAAATAATTTAAACAGATAGTATACATGCAAATTAAAAGCAGACCATGAATAATTAAAAAATGCATAAAAAACATCTTAATAAAAGCACAACACAATTTTTAAAAGAATAATTCCTATCTGCAAGAATGGCAATATAAAAAAAATAGTCTCCTGATTTCAAATAAAAAGGAAAGTTTTTTTTTCATAATTGCGCTTTTTACATTCTTACAGGAAATAAAATAAATGATTGCATGCAATCCTAAAAGATATTAAGGAAAAATAAGTTTAATTAAAACAGATGGTGCAAGTGAATGAGAAGTAGAACATGAAATATAAGAAGAAAAAAAATCTTTCATACAGAAAGCAGAACACTTTCTTAAAATAATAATCTAACAGTAGGCCTAAAATATTAAATATATATAGTATTTATATAATTAAAAATACTATAAACAATTTTTTTCTCCAAAATTAAACGCACACACCTTACATTTTCAAAAAATAAAATGTGCGTTTGATGAAACTGCTGAACTAACAGAATAAAAAAAAAAGTAATTAGAGCAGGCAAATAAGATTTAGAACATAAATAATTTTAAAATTAAAAAAAAAAAATGCAGTAAAAAAACTGCTTAAAGCAATTTTTTTCCTTTTTTAAAAAACGCACACCCAATAAATATTATTTATCTATCTCTGATACAACAAATAAATGTATGAGATAATCTTTCTGTTTAGGACTGAAAGATAATCACACATGCAAATATTTACCTGAATAACACTGCAACTTCAACATTGACCTCGCCGCATACCTTCGTTTTACATCGGCGCCTACGAAATTAATCGAAAATACCAATTAATTCGGAATTTCAGGAATTGTAGATGAAAATCCATTTGTTCGACTACATCACAATTTAATTCTTGCAAGAAAATTGAATATACTTCGAATTCACCTGTTTTCTCAGCAAGTCACAAAAATTTGCGGGAACTGTTAATTCTTAAAAAAGTTTTCTTTTAAATTCGATTATTTACTAATATTTTTTCTTCGAAAAATTTATTCCACGTACAAAATCCGGAAGCACAGGTAAACACGCCAACAAGCAAGGAATGACTGACTGAGTTTACATATTTAGAAACGCCTCTTTGGTCACGTGATCACGTCAGACATCAAGGAAGATTCAGGGATTATTAAATCACATATGTTGACGTTTTGAATAACTAACACATTAATTTTCAGGGATCAGTAAGCTTTTGAGATTTTACAAGAAGCTACTCTGAGGGCAATTCATTACGTTGTGTATCTGTATGCTTCGCGTAACATTAATGCCTACATGTTTTGGAATTGATCCAAATTCGAATAACGTATTTTTATTTCAAGAGATGGCGCTGTTATCGAATTTCCCCTGAGGGAATTTTTTTTTCTCTCATTACTTTCTTTTTGTTTTGCTATTTTACTTTCTTTTTAATTTTACGTTTCATTTTACTTGCTTCTAGTTTTTATACTTAATTTACTTTATAAATCCTTTGAACTTAATGATTAATTTATATTCAGGTAATGTCTAGTAAAAACAATTACAAAAATTGCTTTCTTAAAATTTCTTCTGGCATTTTTATTTATATTAAGTGAGTTGAAAAATTAAATTAGCTTTGATTAAAACCTTAATGAAATTTTTTAAAAAATGTTTCATTTTTACTTTTTATTTAACTATCTTTCAATTGTTTTACTTTTTTTTCTTCTTCTTCTTTTTTTTTAAAATTTAAGTTTAAAAATAAATTTGGATTTAAAACATATCTTTAGGATTCCGATTTTAAATTAATTAGACATTTAATTACTTTTTTATTTACTTCGACATTTCTTTTATTTCAAAGTCTTCTTGAAATATTTCTCAAACCTTAAATTTGTTCTTTCAGCATTTCTGTTAAATTATTGTGAAATTATAATGCATTTATTGGTGACTGTTATTAGCGTTTTAAATAACAGAAAAATTCAAAATATATTATTCTCTTATTCATCAAATCCTTAAACAAAATGAGGCTCCTAATTAGACAAAAAATTATTCCATCAGAATTTGCAATTTATCCCTCTAATTTTTTTTTTTATTCATTTCCATTGCTAATTAAACGCAAAAAATTATTAACAATCACTAATTAATATTTCAAAATATTTAATTTAAATTTATTTCTCAAAATGTATTTCTAAATTTTTTCACTCTTTTCAATGTTAACTAATACTACTGACAATAAACAAAATTTAATTTATAATAAATATATTTCAATTTATATCATCAATAGATATGTGTTTATAAGTTCGTTAAAGTTAATTTATTAAGTGTCAGGAATGTATAATAAAAATGGACTCGATATCATATTAACTTTAGTTTTATAATTGTAGCATTTACATTTGGAAATAGATCTATATCATAGTTTCAGATGATTGCAAAATTAGATCAATTAATCTTAAATTTTAATATTATCCTTTAAAAGTTATAGGTTTCTGAAAAAAAAATGATCTATGACTTTAAAATATATTCATTAAAAAAAATTTCGATCTTGCTCAAAACGTCGTTTGGAACTTGTGGGAATATTGCTTTATGATTTGCTATATTTTCTTTCATCATTGAGTACCAGTGTTGTAGAGGCGCAAATATTTTTGGATAGGTAAGATAACATTTTCATTTTTTTTCCTAATAAAGAAAGAAATAATGTTTTTTTTATTTTTATTTCCAACTGTTTTTAGTTTAAAATTTACTAAATTGTGTATACCCTCTTTAAAAGAGGGTGTTTTGCAAAAATGTTTCTACTTCATAAAATAATTTATAGCTAAATATAAAAGAAGCAAGAGATGTTACTTCTCACAGAACCTTAACCGTCATTGAAAGTGTAAAAATTTTATTGCTAAAAAAAAATTATACTAGTACAAAATAAAAGTAAAAAAAAAAAAAAAAAAAAAAAACCTTACGCTTCATTAAAAAATGTCGAAAATCGGATTATTTGAAGAAAAAAATTGGGGATACCCCCTTACCTCCACCTCTGTTGATCTACGATTTCATTTATTAATCTACGATTTCTACTTTCATTACTTCTGTTTGTATACATAGATAGATTTTTGAGAAATCTGGATATATTTTGTCCGTACTTTCCGTAATCCGTACTTTCGTATGTATAATTAAATCAGTACTTTCTCTAAATTACATTAGCGTAAAGCGACAGTTAGTCACCAATTAAATAATACAGCTATTATAAATCAATGTTTTTACAATTCGTTTATTGCTTACGTAAATATGGTTACTATGTAAATTCCTATTACAACTAAACATTTAATTTTTAGGTTGTACGAACCATAATAAATTATATTCAACTCTCTTAGAGGTGGAAGATGTTGAGTTTGAATAATTACAATTATCGGCTGTAGATTTTTATATAATTACAAAAACTGGCACTACATACTATTGTTAACTTGCCATTAAATGTTAAACATCTTAGGCATACAATATTTTACTTAATTTTGCTGAGATTTATTTCGGGAGAGTGACAGTTTTGGGTTTAATGGAAACCCTCTTCAACAATTTCAATCCATTCATTCATTAAGTCTACTGATCGACAGTACCGAATAACTCACAAATTGAATTTTTTTTTGGAGAACTCTTCTGTCTTAAAAGATATCTATTGTTTNTGGGGCCTCCCTGGCCGAGCGGTATCGCCGGTCCAAACGCTCTGTTAAGCGTGGAGGTAGCGGGTTCGAATCCTGCCGTAACCCTGGATGTATTCTTTGTGAAGTCTTTCTCTGAATTGTTCTATCTGTATTTTCGACTTGATAATGACTTATAAGCCTATATTGAGCACACAAGTCAGCAAATGTATGTAATTTCAATAAATCAAATCAAATCAATAAATAAAATCAAATATTTGCTAACCTTCTGAATAAGTCTATCTTGTATTAAAGTGATAAAACAACACTTCAACTTAAAATACTGTTACCATTAAGTTCAATGGTTCCATTATCATTGACATATCATTGGAAGTTATTAAAATAAGAAAAACATCAGGAACTTATAATATCCGAAATGTTCCTCTATTTTTAACATTTGGTACACTATATAGCTTTCTAGCACTAAAATCTCGTTTACTAATTGCAGCCTTTGGGTCAAACTCAGCGATGAGGAAAGAAACTAAAACTAAACTAAACTCAATGGCGCATAGAGAGCCAAGGCCTACTATGCCCATCTCAGTTTTCCTGACCTTGGGCTCTGGGGTGCAGGAGCAGATGTTTCGGTTAGATGGTCAGTCTAACGCGAAACCCCCAATGTTTAGTTCCTAAGCTTGCTTGGTACTCATTTATCAACCCACTGAAGGGATGAAAGGCTGAGTCAACCTAGTCGGGCCCGAGGATCGAACCCAGGACCTGTGGCACGGGAGTGCGAGGTGCTACCACTCAGCCACCGGGCGTCATTAAATATAATTCAGTAAGATTAAATCTTTATTTCCCATAGTGCTTCGTTTCTGTTTGTAAATTTATTACTTAATGGTATACATATTTAAGCCACTCAGCCACCGGGCGTTAGCCCCGGGCCTCAGCCACCGGTGATGAGGAAAGATCCATTTATAAATACTAAGCCACATTTGCGTTACATGGAGCGAAAACCACGAAAACAGCCTACTGTTAGCCCGACGATCTACCCATGATCCTTCTGCCAATGATGATCAATTGCGTCAGCACTGAGGTCGGTGTAAGCAGAGCGCAGAATTCGCGATCGCAACGCTCGTATACGCACGCCATCTGGGGAGAAGAACTGCTGCATGTCTTGACCCTCCCTTTCTCTCTCCTCCTCTTCTTAGTATGTATACTACGATATTTTCCCTTTTCTTATTATTTTTCGTATTTAATTGTCACAATTTTTTTTAAAATTTCCATGACGCTTTCTTTTGGAGGTATGTTCTATGCAGTTTTTAGTTTCATATAATTTTCTAACTTAAAAGTTTTTAATCTGTTTGAAAATCAAGCGAGGAACTGACGTACTTCCTTCCCCTACGACTCTCTACGAGCTAATGTGAAAAGCATGCTAATTGTTACCATAAGTAAAGAGTTCTGCTCTACGCCACCTATAGCCCAGTTCTATGGTCAATTCGTATCAATCAGCCACCTGGGTCACTTCGTTGGAAGGCGAACCCTTTATCCCTTGAGTTACATCGGCTTGTCATCAGTTAATTTTATTGCATGTTATTACCGTCGTTGAACAGCAGACCAAATTTTGAGTTTACGACTACAAATCCTCAACTCCGTAGACTTGTAATTTCGAACCCAATCCGGAAGCCAAGAGAATTCCTGTATCAAGTATTGGAAAAAATTTGCATTATTGGAGGACTTCTTTATGGGACTGATCCGCATATGCTTGACGCGGAGAGGAAAACCTCCCACTGTTAGCCTGACTGCAAAAGGACTCTAACCAATGATCTGTCTGACACTGTGGATATTTAAAGTCAGAATTGCTGTCGGTGTCACCCGGGTGCGGAATTCGTCCAGACCAGCATTCGCAGGGATTCGAACTCCGGTCACCTATTTAAGAGGCGAGCGCTCTCTTGAGCCACGACTACTTCAAATATAGTTTATTTTATAACTACCGTTGAACAGCCGATCTAATTTTGAATTTACGTCTACCAATGTTCAACTCAGTAGTCTTGTAATTTTGCACCCGATCCAGAAAGCAAGGGAACTCCTGGATCAGGTATTGGGAAATTGCTTCGTGGCTTCGTTCGTTGTCGCTTTCATCCCCTGAGCCACCACGGCTCCATAACGTATAACAATATAATCTCAATTCGGCCGGCCAGGTGGCCGAGTGGTTAGCGTGCCGATGGTCGCTGGTTCGAATCCTGCTCGGGGCATGAATGTTTCTTTCTCTCTGTGTCTCCTGAGTCCTTTTTCCTTTGTGTGTGATTGTGTGAATGTGACCCGCCCTATAAACATGTTTGTGGTTGTGTGACGCTGCATCATCGCCGTGGCTTCGTCACAGGTGCCCACTGGGTAACGAGAAAAGAGTAGCAGTTCTGGTATTTCTGTGGCCAATGGGACAAACCCCAAGTGCCCACCATTTAAAAAAAAAAATCTCAATTCAGGGGAAAATATGGTATGTATAATTCTGGGAAAGCTCGCCATCCCTAAATATTCTGTCACCAATGGCGAGCTGACGAGAGGAGATTTCTGACCCTGTTTTAAGCATTAAGCATTTTATTACCAAAATTGCATATATCATTAGTAGAGAAGTAAAAATTGCCTTTAATTATTATTTTTTTTCACTTTAAAAATCATTATTTTGCATTCACGTTATAAGTTGGTTTAT